TATATATATATATATATATATATATATATATATATATATATATATATTTATATTTATCTTTGGAGTGGCAAAAATGGACTGTAATACTAGTGACCCTTAGAATGCTTTAAAAATTCATAGTTACGGATGTGACGTAACAGTTCAACTGCAGTAAGTGTTTGTGTTTATTCACCCAGGATCACCGAATGATAAGGTGACGTGTTAAAAAAATGGATATTTACCAGATAACCCCTCCGGCGGTGTACGCTGTAATTAAAACAAGCGCAACCATTGAGTCATCTGACCGTGTGACCGCATCAGACCAGGTGGGCGGGACTTTTTGAGAGGCGTTGCCGCACACAGGGATCGCGAGCGTCATATATCCCCGCAGCTCCTCGCGCATTTACATACGTTGCGCACCCTTTGCTTCGCTTCAGTCGTTGCGCGAACTAGCTCGAAGAAGAAACGCTTTAGCCATGGCCAATTATATCCACGTACCGGACGAGGCTCCCGCTGTGCCCAAAATAGACGTGACCGTTGACGAGCGCGATTACAGGACCGGTGCGCTGCAGCTAATGAAGGAGCTGAGACCGACCTGGAAACCGTCAGAAATCAAAGTGAAGGTATGCCGTTTTAATATTTTTTTATTCCTCCTGCGGCTCGTATGGATCGCTTCTACGTTTCCGTGCACGTTGCGTAGACATTTAATTTCGTTTCCGTCGTTAAAAATATAAAGATAAAAAAAAGGCCAGAACCGATGCTAAAGCTAGCAAGGTGCCCCAAAGGAGTCGCGCGCAGATGTTAAACGTAGCTAGCTTTATGTAATTATGGCATTTAAAGCAACAAAACGGAACACTAGACGTGTTAAAATTGTGTTTTTTAAATATTTTACACATTTGAACTAAACGCATTTAATAGATAAAAGACCCATAGATGCATAGTTTATCAATTTGTCGCGTACCCTTTTTTTGTATCTGCGTCAGAATTATCAAAATGTTGCTTCTCATCACTTGTTTCTGTTTAGCCTTTCTCGTTTTTATTCAGACCCGTCTACGATATTGATTTGCATTTCACATTCACCTTTTTTTTTTTTTTTTTAAATTGGTGCAAAATGCGACCTTAATGAATTAAAAGTGAACGCCATTTTGTTTTAAGAAGTTAAATGAGGCATTAGGTTGGCTTTGGAAAGTTCTGGAAGCGATGATAAACATCATCGTGCCTTTTTATGTTTTGCATAATAATTCACTTAATCTAGACCTACGAATGCCCTGAGACCTTTGTTTTTTTTGACTTGACCATGAGTAAAGGTTGGGAGGCAGTTTTACATGCATGTTTGAAAGTAATAAACATGGAGGTGTGGTCCAGCTGTGTAAACACAGCCAGGAATGAAGGGGGATCACATGCCTTCCTGCTCTGGATTTTGCTCATGGGTTAGGCAAAGTGGGGCTTCAGCAAATGCCAATCATTTCTTCCTGGTGGTGGCTAAAATCCCTCACATTCCTGGCATTCTCCGTCGATCCCAGTTAGTGAGCGGTTAAAGCTGGTAAACTGGCACCCGACTCCCAAACAAAACGCACCCTGGACTGTTGAGATTCAAAAAGAAAAACAAGCTCCTCTTTGTGGCCTTTTCCTTGCAGTTCTTCACAGATGGAATAACCAACAAGCTGCTCGGCTGCTACGTGGGCCCGGTGATGCAAGACGTGGTCCTGGTTCGGATTTATGGCAACAAAACGGAGCTGCTGGTCGACCGGGAGAACGAGGTGAAAAGCTTCAGGGTGCTGCATGCGCACCGCTGTGCCCCTCACCTTTATTGCACCTTCAACAACGGACTCTGCTACGAATTCCTGCAAGGAACTGCCCTGGAGCCAGAGCACATTCGCAGCCAGCCCGTTTTTCGGTAAGAAGGAAATCGTGTCGTGGATCGATACCTTAAAGAAAAGTAGTTATGGGAGTACAGAGTTGGGTGTTAAATATTGTGTAGTAAATTTTACTGGCTGAACATTTCTGTACAGGTTTTAGTGCCATTTCTGTGTTTATTCTTCCCTGTAACGTCGCTTTATGAAATTATTTTTAAAAGCATAAATCGTTCTGTGAGCAAAGCCAAGCATTCAGTCACTTAGCGTAGTTTCTCATTGGCTACATCTTCTGGAGACTGTTGGACGAGAAAAAATGCGAGACAGTTTTGATGCAGCCTCTTTAAATTTTGAGCGTTTGTGACCAGGAAGAAACCTCCAGCAGAAGCAAAAGGATGCAAACAAAATGGCTGGTGTAGGTGTAGTTTCTATGGAAAGAAAAACAGAAGTTGGTGATCCAAATAAATACAAACATAAACAGTGGAGCAAGTAAACACAGCAGCAGAGTGAGGAAATGCAAGTTTGTCCTTCAGCAGTCTTAAGCCTATTGTGGGAAAAACTAAGGGATAACTCTGGAAACCCAAGTTGACCCTAACTATAGGCTCTATCAAAAAGAAAAGACGAGCCTAGTTTTAAAACTTGACAATGCGTCAAATTCACGGACAGAAACTGGAAATTTGTTCCACAAGAGAGGATCCTGATCACTGAAAGCTCTGCCTCCCATTCTACTTTTGGAAACTAGGAACCACAAGTAAACCTGCAGTCTGAGCGCGAAGTGCTCTGGAAAACGTGGAAGAATAAGACCTTTAACGTAAGATGGTATGTTAGAAGAAAGATTTAAAATTCAGAATTTGACAGGGAGCCAATGTAGGAAAGCCAAAACTATAGAATTAGACGAGCTAGATTCAGGCACAATTATCGTAGATATGATTCCAAATGCTTGAGTCTCGACTACAGAAGGACATGGATGACACTTGTTTGGAAACCGTGAACTGAATTTTATGTAGATTCATAGATTCTAAAATCAAAATCTGTATGTTTTGCTGTAAACGTAAACAAAAACATCTTTTGTTTTACTTCATATAGTCTGAATTCAAATCTTGTTTTTCTCTGCTTCTGCCTCGCAGGCTTATTGCAAGACAGCTGGCCAAGTACCATGCCATCCATGCCCATAACGGCTGGGTCCCCCGCTCTGACCTGTGGCTAAAGATGGGCAAGTACTTTGCGCTCGTTTCCAAGTGCTTCAAGGAGTCTGAGCAGAACGACAGGTGAGGAGAACACATACTCTAGTTAATATTTGGTAGATCCTGAGATCGGACTGGTTATCTCAAAAAATGTTATAGTTTTGGTTAGGCTTCACTTGGTGTCTTCTGTTTTTAATGTAAAAATGTTAGTTTATTATTAAGCTGTCATAGGTGGCTCTGACGCATGTAAACGTGTGTTATGTGTGTACTTCTACGCTGAAGTGAGCTGTTTCCATAATACCTGAATGGTTACTTTAAAGCTATGACGTTCTGAAGGGCGATCCTGTATTATAAAAATATGTACGATAATTATTTGGAGTTGCACGGAACACGAGCAGTTTTTGCACGTTCTTGTTTTGAGCCCTTTAGCTACTACAGTTTAATAGTTTTGACAGTTGCAGCCACCGTTCTGAGTAATTTCCTTGGAGAAGAGCCAAATGTAAACATGATGTTGGAGCATCAGGAGCTCCGGTTTATAAACAGTTCATCATAATGCCTACACAATTAAAACTTGTTTTTATTTTTGTTGTTAAACGTTCTTTTATTTTCTGTTCTCGTTCTAAATGTAGTGTTGTATTTCCTTTTGTGGACTTCTCCCCCAGTCACCATTTCAGTTCGAACACTCAAACCGCCAACTTCTTCTAAATGTTCTTCTCTGCTCCCTGCAGGTTGAGGCTGGAGGTTCCCAGCCTCGAGTCCCTCAGAAATGAACTGGTGTGGCTCAAGCAGAGCTTGTCTGTGCTGGGCTCCCCCGTCGTTCTTTGCCACAACGATCTTCTTTGCAAAAACATCATCTATAACCAGAGGGAAGGTGAGTATGAGCAGCAGGAGTGCAGTCACAGACACGGCTGTGTGACTTAGCTGTAGTGTGATTTTCTTTGGTGTGTAGACACGTGCAGGTAGGACTGCATTCACTGGACTCCCTCAGACGTAGACTCAACCTTCACTTCCCATCACTGTTTGCAGCTAGCTGCAAGGATTAGAACTGTGAAACGAGACAGTCCAGTTGCTTGTTTTTACCAAAACTATGGTTTTAATTCTTGTATAAATTAGGCCAATTTGCCCTTTTATGTTCAGACCATCTGACTGAATGTGTTTATAAGTTATTTCAGTGTGAGGACTCCTCTGAACTGTTCTAATTTTGTTCTAAAAATGGTGAACGCTAGGGATGCACCAGTACCGCAGTTTTTTCAGAAAAGTACTCATCTATACAGAGTATTAATAAATGCAATCACACTTACAAATAGGATCTCCGACTACAAATTTAAACTGTTCGAGGCGATTCGTACGTTAATGTGTATTTTGAACATTTTTACATTTAGACAAAACCTTCACGTTAAACAGTCGTCATCATAGTCAATTTCATTAGGCTCTATTCCAACTCTGTAACGCAGCTAAAAGTTGAAATACAAATTATATTAAGGAAACGATAATAATGTAATCAGGATTTTTGTCATTCGCCTCTTCAAAAGACAACCTGATTTTAGCCACATAAGAGACAACAGCCGCAGTTATGAAGCATTAGCCTAACATTAGCTTAGCACCTGCCTCAGGCGGTGTTGGCAACTTCTACTCATTAAGCAACTCTTCAGGCTTATCAATGACTCGTGGCAGACGACTCTGATAAACGCGTCATATCCACTCATATTTAATTTCCTTTCTTCAAAATAACTTGTATGGAAACTCTGGCTCGGATCCGAATATTCCCTCTTTTGCTCAGATGCTCACATTGAAATACGTCCACACGTATTATTTACACTCCTCGTATTCATTGGTGGTGAGAAAACTTTTTTTTTTTAAACAAAGGTATGGGTGCACAAACGGTATCAGACTGGTCTGGTATTTGTATGGATACATCCCTAGTAAAAGCTGTTATTTAGAACAAAATGCATGTAATTTAAGCGTTTTCCGTTGCTGTACATCAATGTTAACATTGTTATTGGCATGAATGTAAAGGTAACCAGACAGGCTTACTTGAGTGAGCAACTGTTATTTTTTCCATGACCTTTGTGCTCAATAATTGTGTTTAAAGGGCAAGAAAAACGTGAAAAAGCAGGTTCGCAGGAAACTACAGTTGGTTGTGTATTTGGGAGGTGGGTGAAGGTTTTTAAAGGGAGGGTGTTAGAGCTGTCAACCCTCTCGTCAGTTTTGCGACGAGGGGGGGGCGAGGCCATTCTCACAGCTCCTTTTGTCTAGCTTTTCTCCCCTAGGAATGACAGCGGAGGCTGTGGCTGCCCTGCGCCGCCCTGCCCTCCGGGGAGGGAACGGAGAGAGACAAACCTCACGCACTGGAGGCTCATAGTCCACCTCCCTCTGCTCAGGCTAATCGGGATGAGTTCATGACGGCAGTAGGAGCCGAGGGCATCCTCCATGTCCTCCTATTCAAACCAGAAATCAGTTGTCAGGCTAATTTTAACGTAGTTTATTATCTGACTACGGTTAAAATGGTTGCATGACTGTGAAAACTGACCTAGTCTAGAAATATATATATTTTATTTCTGCTTTTCCATTTTGAAGCATTAGTTTACACAAGTGATGAGTTTATAGTAGAAAACAATCCTTAAAGGTGTGGTTCTGTTTTTCTTGAGGATATGCTCCATGACGGGATCAAAACAAACACCGAACTAACCAGCCATGCTTGTTTTTAATCCTTTCTGCTAAAGTGCTCTGCATCATTTTCCAGGAAGTAAAAAAACAAGAAATTACAAGTAGGTTACATGAGTTTATTAGCGAAGGATTTGTGGTTTACCTTTCTGTAAACACGGTGCCTCATAAATCAGCAGCTAGTGGATTTCAACAGACTCGCGGATCTGTTTTCAAAACGGCTGAATCTACTTTTCTATAGTTTATAAAGTTACGAATAGATTTATTTACGGTATTAGTGACTTTTTTTTTTTTTTTTTTAAGCGCTTGCACTGTCCAAGCCGTTTCTGATCTTCTCATGAGAAAAATGGTCACAGATGATGTAGAATATCAACCTTATTGTTAAAAACTGAAACATGATTCTGCAACAACAGATCTTTGCCAAATCACACGGTTTCTAAGTAACTGAAGATCTCTGGTGAGTTTATGCACTCGCTTACAAAAAAAGCATTACCGACCGTGCAAACAGCAAGTGAACATATCCAATGTCTGGTAGTTTTTACCCACACCCTGTGTTGAGCAACTTTAAATTCCTCCATACAAGGATGTGAACATTTGCACCTGTAATGTAAAAAAAAAACCTACGTATGCATGCAAGTTTGCAGAATCATGCGTCAGGCTTCATTATTTAACGGGTTTCAGTATTTTCTTAGTCTAGCATACAAAGGGAGAAATCAGATCTACCTCTAAATAATTAAACCCCACCTTCAAATGCCAGTGAGTGGAAAATCTTCTACAATGAAACGTTAGATTTCAGCTTCAACCTGTAATCATTATTTATTAAATCAGGCTAACAGAGGTGGCTATAAGTGCTGCTGTAAACACTGGTAATATATTCAATTTATTTGTGCCAGATTAAAAACAAAAATAAGTAAAGCCCTGAAAAGCTGCTTCAGCCAATATCTCACTATGCTGTGACCGGTTTCATTCACAAGGACTCCGAAATGTTCGAAAAGTCTCTCCTTATGACGCCTGTGAAATGGCCCAACAGGTGTCCCACCCATCAGGCTGGGCGCTTTACGCTAGGCCTGTCACCATAACAAATTTTGCTGAGCGATTAATTGTCTCAGGAATTATTGCGATAAACAATATTGTTTGAAATTTGACAATAATTACTAATTATTGTCAAATTTAAAAATAAATGCTGGTTAATTTTGTGTGTGGTACCTCTTTTTTTGACCACTAGATGTCAGTATAAGGCTGTTTGAACCGAAGGATGGATAGTGAGGGAGCGAGCAGCGTGTCTCTTTAAGAAAAATGGGAGGGAGGTCCCTTGACGTGACACGGGCTGTCTCTCCTTCTTGATTTTTTGGTTTTCAAAATGGCGGACGCTCTGTGTGGTTTTGAGCATTTCACACAAAGCTTTTAATTAAAAAAAAATAATCTGTAAACAAGTTCTCAGCTTGTTTTTGCGGAGAAAAACAACTTTTTACACGAAGGCACCGGTTTCAACCGTGAATTTTTGGAGCTTTGTCTAAACGGAGGTTTTTTCCTGAGGTCGGCCTGTTAGCTTAGCTCGTAGCTTAGCTTCTCAGCTTAGCTGCTTTTAACGATCCCAAAAAACGCGATTTTGGACGGTTTAAACATTTATTTTAAAGAGAAGGGGAGGAGTCAGTGAAGAGCACCGGAGTTTAGCCTTTTGTCATCCAGTGTCTTCAGTAGAAAGAGAGACACAAAGAAATTATAAAGCCGATAAATGAAAACGAGGTCGATAATTTTAATTTGTCGTGCGATTAATTGATTTGTTTATTGCGACCGGCCTACTTTACTTCGTTCAGTGTTCGCCGCCCTGTGAAGTGGAGAAAAGTGATATTAGTCAACATTTAACTGGCCACTTGAGCACCACCAGGCCAGTGATGCCCTTAGGTTTCATAATTAATAACCTGCATTATTTCCAATTTGTTCAGTCGGCGTGCACGGTAAATGCACACGAGCCTCAGACGCTCACTGCAGGTGTTTAGAAGTGAATGCTGCAGGTACGATGTGGTCGTCAAAATAATGCGCGCGGCTCGCGGTACCATTTGGAAGCAGAAAATACAGAAAAAAAATGTGGATTTAAAAACAAAAGTGTGGCCGCACGGCTCGCTGGTCGTTCAGCAAGATTTGGTGAGACTGCAACGTAAGATTCACGTGCTTTAAATTTCTGATTACTCTGCAGTCACAGCCCAGTGAGATACTGGCTTTTCTGCCACAGCTGACCCACTTGTGTGACAAATGAGGACAGTGCCACTTCCTGTATTAAAAACAAAACAAGAAGTACAGTTTTTGCGTTTTAAACGTACTGCTCAGTCGCAGGCTGCTTTACGTCTTCTGCCCTCCTAGATTATGCAAACTCGATACGCTGACAGATCTGGTTTCCAGGTATATGGAAGCTGTTTAAAGGTTATGCAACATGCAGAAGCGTCACGCTGCTGGGTTCAGAGGAGACCAATGGGAAAGAGGCACGACAGAGGGAGTGGTGTGAGTGGGGAATATTGAAGGGGGGGAGGTTGAAGGAAGGGGACGTTGGCGGCAGGCCCTGATGTTTGAAACCGTGTGGGAGGAGGAATGAACCGAGGGCAAATGTGTCTGAGAGCGTGAGCATGTGTGAAAGATGTTTGCCCAAACCTTTTCATCTGCTGCACAGGGGGGCTATAGCCACTGCCTGGAGGTGTTCAGTTGTGTCCCGCTAGGACCTACACGCCGGCTGGTAACCCACCTCAAAGTGTCTTTCTCTGTAGTCCAGCAACACCTCATTTTTTTTTTTTTTTTTTAATCTTTTTTTTTTTTTTTTTTTTTTTAATTGTATGTCAGGTCAAAATATTGAGCAAAGCTAAATAAATTGGGAGTAGAGAGTATTTTGTTATTCAAAAGTATTTTCTTTGGGAAAGTGGGCTTATTATAAAGTAAGGGTTTGGATTTTGAGCCGATGACTAACTACTTCCTCCTGTGTTCATTGTCGATGCAGACGTCACATTTTCAGTGGTTTAAAATGTGCTCGGACAGCAACACATTTTGTAACTCCTGTGTCCTTGAAGTCACGCCACGAACTGATAAAAGCACTCTCCAAAACCAAACGACCAGTTAACGCAGGCCAGTCGCATGATTCCTGGGTCCCACTTGGTTTTTGTCAAGAATCCAACGTGTTTGGTTTAAATGAAGTGCAGACCCACATTAAAAAAAAAATTAAAATGACCCGAGCCTGTAAATAACTTTAGTGCTTATAATCAAGTGTTTTGCTGTCTTAGCAGCACATTTGTCTTTATAAACTTTCCATTGGTGTCTCTGGATTTGTTTGTTTTTTTTGCCCTTTCCTGGTTTGCTCTTCTGTTTCCCCTTTCCTTCCTTCCATGCCTTCAAAACAGACTTGACTTTTCCTTTTTCAAGCTGTGCATGTGTCCAAAACAAATACCCACTGGAAAGCCAACCGATTGTCTTTCCACTAGATTTCGGTACATACTCCATGTGTTGCATCATGTGTTTTTTACATTTGTAATAATATATCCCAGCTGCCGGCTGGGTGTGTCTGAATGTTTAACGCAAGAAAATAAGTCGGTCTTTATAATCCTTACCCGACTGTGAATATGTGCATGCCTTCTCTGTTCTGTACCTTTTCTATAAATTCAATTAACATTGAAGCCTAAAATTAAGTGAGACTTTCACTGAGTACACATCCTGTATACCCCTCAGCACTCTTTTACACAAAACCTATGAAACTCTCTTACTCCTTCTTTTATTCATCTCTCAAAATACAAACTCTTACTTCTTGCCCATGCAGTTAGCTAATTAGCCAGCTAGTTAAGTTAGATGTTGGAGAGAAGTAGCTTATAACATGAAGAGGCATGAGATTATGAGTTACCAAATGGAAACAACATAATCATTGTTTTTGTGCTTCTTATTTCACTTTCTAAACGATCCTTTTTTGTTTTCAGGAAGTGTAAAGTTCATTGACTACGAGTATGCTGGGTACAATTACCAAGCCTTTGACATTGGTAATCACTTCAACGAGTTCGCTGGTAAGAATCGAACTAAATCTGTAGGATTTTAGTAAAACTGTTTTCCTCATTGTGGCTTTGTTTTGTTTGTTTGTGCACAATATTCACGGTTTTAATCCTTTAGGCCTGAATGAAGTGGACTATAGTCACTACCCAGAGCGGGCCTTTCAGCTGGAGTGGTTCCGCTCCTACCTGCAGGCCTATAAGGAGTACAAAGACCAGAAAGATGCAGTCTCTGACAAAGAGGTGGAGATCCTTTACATTCAAGTCAACAAATTTGCCCTGGTAAGTTTTTATCCCAGTTTTTTAGGTACGCCCAAATTCAGATAAAATTTGTCTTTGCCTCATGGACCAACAAACGACAGGTTTTTGTTTTACTTTTGTGTAAAAACAATTATTACATATTTTTTTTTAAAGATCCGTTAAAAGGCAGGCTCCGCATACAGATCTCTGCTGTACGCCTTATAAAACGGCTGTTTCCTGGAAAAGTTTGTGCTTTCATCTGAACAGGTTTTACTGGGTGTAGGTCAGATGAACTATTTGTTTTGGCAGTTTTCTTCATTTAAACTAGCGTAGTTCTTTAAATTGTTATGCAATCACAGCATTTCTCAAAGTGTTTAGATGCACGTTATCCAAAAAATATCCATGTTGTTTAAAAAATGGCATCTTCATTTGGGACTAATCCAGCATCACACCGGCTCACTTTTATCTCCAAGCTTCACTGTCCGGGGTGTGTGGTCACGGTCAGTCCTGGCCACGTCACACCAAACTGTTCGCTCCGATTAATGCTAATATAGATCTGAACTGGAGCTCGCATGCAGATAAACTACCTAAAGGCTCCATACTGAGAAGTTCTGGTGTTCTCGCAATCAAGTTAACTGGAAGTACAGGATTACATTTTTTGTCTTGGCTTTAAAATTGACGACCCTTAGTGAAGCTTAAACCCTTAATTCCCTAGATTATCCCACTCATGAGACTGTCCACAGCAAGTTGTTCATGGTGGAACTCCAAAAATATTTAGAGTAGACCATGTCATCAGCATAGGTCTCCACATTAGATCTTATTTTTACGAAGACCACTTTCACCAAAGCAGTCGAGTGTTTCTGTTGACGTCTCCACTGATCATAAAATGGTTTGGATTGGCTGGTAGTCCTCAACATGCGAGCACTTCACAAATGACGGCTGCATTTTAATGGTCTTGCATGTTCTTTAATTGAATTGTTGTGGATTACCACCATGGACATCATCATCATCATCATCAGTCAAACTGACCTGTTCCCACCACAATCGTATAAACTTGATGGGCATATGTTCAGGGTTGTTGAGTTTGCTGATGGGTGTGTTGTGTACCGTTGGCGGCATTCTTTTTAGCCTTACTTCCCAGTTTAATTTGTAAAGTTTAATTAACTTGGGGAGGCAGGGCAGCCGGCTTGGGACCCGAAAGCCCCAGGTTCGATCCCCAGTCACTGCACATCACGTGGCGTCTCTGGGCAGCACGCCTCATCCCCAAAATGCCCCCCCGGGCGCTTTCAATAGCTGCCTACTGCACCACCTGGTGGTGGATGGGTTAAATGCAGAGACTAATTTTGCCATTGTATGGAAACATACAGTGCTGACATTGTGATGACATTATTATTATTATTATTATTATTAATAATAATTTATACCAGATAAATGTACCACCAGTGGTTCTTGTAGTGCAGTTCGAAACTAATGGCTCTAAATCATTTTGATCATTTAAGATCAAAGGGGGGACTACATGAAAAGTTTTTTCTTTTATAAATGTTTGGTCTTTATCTTCTGATGGTTAAAAAACAGTTTATTACTGAGCTTTAACTTTATAATGCCAAAAAATGTTGCGCAATGCCTGCTGCTTTAGCTCGGGACAAATTTAATTTAGTGGCATTAAAGGTTTTAAAATAAGATTATTCATTAGTATTTGAGATCATACATTACTGTTGTTTAACAACATTTGCACATAATCATTCTAGCCAGCGGAAAATAAACTAATAGCTTTTTATTGATCGTTCGTTGATCATTTTAAAACCTAAGGTTGTGCTTTGTCATTGTAATTTTCTTGCTGCCTATGACCATTAATCTGAGAACATTGTCCAACTGGTAATCTAATGATCCTGGTGGTTTCTCCTAATTGTTAGGTTTATGTAAACTCGTATTTCTGGGCCTTGAGGCCGTGCGTTGAGGGCTGCCAGAAAACGGTTAACAAAATAAACTAATACAATTAGTCACTAGTTACTGTAATTAGTCATTTAATACAAATTGAGTTAAAAAAAAAAGACTAACCAGAGTTCAAGTAATGTAAATATTCACATTTTGATGCTAAAGACATGCGCATATGTTTAAATGTCAATATTTAGGGAATATCCTATTAGGCTCATCCATTTTAAACTACAAAGTCTTAGTAGTAGCTAAAGTTAGCTGTCTTGTTAGCTGCTAAGGGCCGTGTCTTTAGCGATATGGTTAGCCACTGTTTTATTAATGTAGCACCTCCTCTCACTGTAAGACTAAAGTCTGTACATTAGTTCTTTTTCTCGGTGAATACAAGCAGCCCCAGCTGCACACATGCTTACTAATGAGAAGGCATCGCAGCTGAAGAGGATTATTATTTAATATATGTAAATAAATGTCTAAAAAAACAACTTTAATATATGTAAATAGTTTATTTTTTTAGACATTTATTTTGTAGAGTTACAGCTGTTGTTAATAAATGTGCCTGTGTGACAACTGGGACAAAGCTTCGACTCAGAAATACATTTTTATTACTTTATTGAAAGAAAGAATATATATATATATTGTATATCACCATTTTTCTTAAAATATCAAGATACTAATTTTGGTTGATCTCGCCCCGCCCTACTGTGGTTGGAGAGTTCCTGCTCTGATGACAAACTGGGTATTGTTGTCATACTGGTCGTCGTACTAGTCGTCATAACAATAATAATAGTACAGTTATAATATAATAAAAAAACGGGGGATGTTTGCAACACGGTCGGCCTTGACGACGCTCGTATTGATCCCAGAACCTCGCTCGGTGTTTGGTGTCAACAAGAAAAGAGGGCAACATGGAGGATGAGCAAGTGACGCAATTGTTTTTGTGTCAACTGTGTGTTGTTGCCATAGGGGTTGTAATGGCTGCATGTGAGCCTTCATTTCAAACGACATTTTGACTGTGTGCATTCTTGGTAACGCCCTGTTTACTCCTCCTTTCTGTCTGCAGGCATCTCATTACTTCTGGGGTCTCTGGGCTCTAATTCAGGCCAAGTTCTCCACCATCGACTTTGACTTCATGGGGTATGTTTAACTTTTTCACTTTACAAAACTACAATCACTTTGAGTTGACGGTTAATAACTCCACCCTGGCGTTTACCCCTAACAAACAAGTAGAAGAGATGATTACTATAAAATTAATATGAAAAGTAGCTCTGTAAGTTAACGTACACTCCTATACACACATCACATGCTGCACCGTAAACGGGACAGAAAGGGATTCCAGGTCATTTTAAATGATGCGTCCTTGCAGGTCCAGACTTCTCTAATCCAGCTCGTATATGGAGGTGGAGCCGCACCAGTTTTAGCCTCCTGGCTAGATGAGCTGTTTATGCTGTTTGGTCGTTTAAAAAAAAAAGAATTTTAGCAGGAGTGAGTGAAGTAGGTCATACTCCAGACGGAACGGTTTAAATATTAAAAGCGATGTCCTCTCCAGTTACTTTGCGTCAACATTTTCAGACCAGAATCTTTTCACGGTGGGACAGCTCCAAAACATCACCTGTCTCTAGTGCTGCTTGTATTTGAAGGTACTCACTGCAAAGTTGAAGGGACCGATCAAATTTTATTAATTATAAAATCTGCCTAATATATTTCTCACTTTGACTATAGAAAAAAAAAATGTGACCAGATTTGAATTGGCAGTGATTTTTGAACTGGAAGAATTGACATCATCGAGGCTGTCTTTTTATTTTTATTTTATTTTCCACATCTGCACCCGATAGTGACTCACCAGGTTGTTTTTAACTGTGCCTATTTATTTATTTATTTAATTAATCAAGGTGCACTTTCCTAAAAGTTTATTTTTAAAGGATTATAAAATGAAAAGTCAGCTTTATTGACAGAGTATGTGCATCCCTCTTCATGTTTATCCACCAAACTGGTGAAAAAAGACCAGTTGATAAAAAATGAAGAAGTTACCAGAGAAATTCAAAGTGTTTTTTAAATTATTTTAATTAAAATGCACATCACTAGACAGGATGCCAACTTCTTTGCGACTTGATATTCAAATTGTTTATAGCATGCATGTAGTTTGTATGTTCTGTTCATGTATCCTTTGCCTCTTTGTGTTTCTACCCAAAGATATGCAGTCCTGCGCTTCAACCAGTACTTCAAGATGAAACCTGAAGTAGCTGCGCTGAACTTACCCGAATAAAAGCCAACACTCCCGGATTCTTCCCTTCTCAAGATGACTGCAGGAGGCCCACAGAGGTCTGCGATGAGAATAACTAGACTTAAACTTGCAGTTTACTCCATTGTCCATTTCTACAAAAACTGAATGAACCTCAATGCTATGATCAACTGTAGCAGTCGTTACCTGGGAGCTTAGCACTGACGGTTAACGCGTTCTAACATGGTTACATTTCTTTCTGGTCTACTTTGCTGTACTGTTCTTAACTCTGAAATCACAGATCAACTTACTGTATGTCCAAATAATCCTTTTAGTACCTCGTAGCGTAAACTGTAACACAGACTGGGCACCCCCTCCAGTACTGGAAGTCAAAGACCTCGTTTAGAACCACGTGGAAGCAACAGAAGCTTCCTGTGCAGACGAACTGAGGTGGGAAAGAAGTGATTGCAGCACGAGGCTGTCTTTGAGTCTTGTGCATTACGAGCTCCGTGAAAGCCCAAAACACGCCGTCTGCCTGCTCGGCGGCTCCGTTTTCGTCCTCGTTTCGCCCAGCGTACTGAGCACGTACGTGCACTCTTGGGCACTTGACTTGAGGACTTTGTGTGTTTTTGGTTTTATGAAGGTACAAAGTCTTCAGAGAGCGTCTTGTTTACGTCTCCGTTCATTAGTTTCACTGGACAGCCGCTTGACCTGAGGGCAATTTTCACTTTAATGTAGATATATTTGTTGGGACACTTGGATTTTCATCGTTTGATGTTTAATAGAATGTACCTCACTGACATTTGAGCATTCCCTGTTCATAACATTTGTGCATTAAGCTGCATTTAAGGTCAGTAGTATTAGTTTCATTTCTCTGTGAACTGTGTAGTTACAAGGTTTAAGGTTAGGGGTCCTCTTTAATTTTGGTTACAGTTACTCAGTCCATATTTCTGTCACTCCTAAACCACTAATTTGTCACGTGCGACATGGCCGTGTTGATGTTTGAGCCGCTGCTGGCGTTGATGTTGAGCGTTGTCTGTTAAAATGTTGCTCTGTAACCGGTTAAGGAGAGGACCCTCTGAAAACTACAGCAAAAACAAAGCCTACACCAAAGTGCTTCCGTCTTGTTTTCACATCATGCACTCTGTATGAATCTGTAGCATTATGGGAACCAGATGGATTTCTTATACCGCTTTAGATGAGACGTTTAAGGCTGTTTTTTTTTAGAGGTCGCTTATGTTTATTGGTCTGCTCAAGACTAACTTTGAATGTAGTGGAGCGCAGATGTTTAACTCCTGAATGAAATGGCACAAAGCTTTAGAGACGGACACTCCTGTTGTTCCTGCAGACTACCAGCTAAGAAACGGGTGTTTAAGGCTCGGTGTGGGTCTCTGAAAGCACTTTCTTTTTGCACTTCGGAAACTTTGAAGCCTGATCACCTGTCTTTAATCTGTTGTTCTTTGTTTATATTGGTGGATTATATTTAAACTGAAGTTAGAGTTGACCCTTTTCTATATATTTAAAGTGTTAGCCCATTCGGATGTAAACATTAAACACAACGGTGTGCAAAATGTAAAGATTTTAGATTACACATATAAGTAGTATAAACAACGTGTTTTTTTTTTTGTTTTTTTTTCTCAAAGGGTTATGGTTATTAAATTGTCTGCCCATGTTTACACTAAACAAATCTACTTTCATTAGTTTTGACTCCTTCATTTGATCTAAAGTTGTGATAAAATTATCTTCAATGCTAATCTGGCGCAAATTAATCCATTTTATAATCTACAGGAGTCCTGATAATAAAAACAATAATTAGATTTAATTTGTTTTATTATTGAATCTCCACGGCCACTGTAACATGTTTATATGTACAGCAAACCAATGTAAAGAACTGTTTCCTCTGATGTGAATTAATGTATATAATGGGAGTGTTTTTTTTTTTTGTTTTTTTTTAAGATTCATTAAAGTGAATAATTGCCTGGTTTGAGGTAAAAAAAAATGTAAATATGCTTTCATCAATAAAATCTTTTTACCTAGGAGTGTGTACTTTTTGTGTATCGTTGCTCGGATAGTTTTCTTATTTGTAACTTTGTTCAAAGTAAACTTTGTATTTCCAGAGAAAGCGGTAAAATAAAACACCTGCTTAAAAATGTGACTACCAAGTAGCTAGATTTGATGTTTTAACTAGATGAGGTTAGGTGACACATGAAAGGCGAAGTACTAATATTTAAATTTTAGATGAAGTTTGTAGGATAGCTGTTATACCACATGTTTGCTTTTTGCACAACATGCTTAAATCTATTATATTAGTAGTTGTGTAATTGTTTTCTTTTCTAGTTCTATTTTACCTTATTGGCATTTGGGTAAAAGTTACAGTACTAAAACATTTAATTATTGCGATTTCATATTTGCAATGTGCACCACAGACAATATGGCGGCTTTTGTGCAATGGTAGCGTGCCACATTAATGTAATGCTGTAGATAAATTATCCAATCACAGTCGAGTAAAGGCTGTTGCTGGGCAAACTTGACTGATTTCCCGTCAGTCATTGGCTGTCTATTATTTGATTGGCTAACATTCAAAATGGGCGCGCAAAAATTAAAGCTCTTTTTTTTTTTAATCTAGCTAAACAAGCAAAAACTCGTGTTTAGTTAAACTAAGGTCATTTTATCTGTGTAAAAACGAAAAAAGCAAAAAGTTAAGGTCGTACAAAGTTAAAAATCAAAAAGGAAAAAAGTAGAAACGTTGCTTCTTTAGTGACAAGCTAACAAGACAAGCTAGCTTAGTTGTAGCTGCAAAATATGGTTTTTGCTAGCATTACCTGCCTGAGGAGGATTGTGCCCAGGATGGAAGAAGTTGGGAAAGAAGAATCTAAAAAGTAAGAAATATTAAGCTGTTTTTACATTAAGATGTTTTAGTAGCAGTAGTAGCACTGTTAGCATAGTTAGCATAAATTGTGTACATTGCGTTCCTGTGGTTCCACTGACCATTGAATTAATTTTAATTAAACTCATCAATAGTTGTACTGATTACATTTTTTTTTTTAAATATCAGTCTGACTCAAAATGGCTGCTACAGACAAATGACCCTAGAAAACAAAATAAAGGCCAAAACTCTAGTCTGTTTTACAGATGTGCTAAAATCTGGTGTGGTAGTAGCAGAGAGTCATTCACAACATACTCCAATTGGTGCTCATTGCAAAGCATAAGCATCGGAATCCACCCTGTTTGTTAGCAAAATATCTCATAAAGACACCAGTTGGGTTTGAAAGAAACCTTGATTTAGGTATGTTTAAAAAAAATGTTTGTTAAAATAAAAGGTTTTATTAAAAGAGCAACATAACTTTAAAATGAAACCAAGATCAAGTATGGGTTAATGATGACTATTAAAATTTTGAATTTTTGGTGTTTATATTCTAAATTTTCATTAATATATTTACAAAGTTGCCATACGTTCCACATAAGTTTATATATGACATACAACTAATTGATTTTTAATGAATTTTCAGAAGCTTTTCAGTGATTTGATTAATACTAGATTATTTTCAATAACTAGTAATACATGTTTATTCACCACAAAGATTGAGTTTGTTACTGCAGAAATTTATATTTTTACATTTTGCTGGTAAAGAAAACATGCTAACAAATTAAACTGGTTGATTTTTGGAATAGTTGAAAACATTAACTGTTTGGATGTTCAAAAACGTAGTTTTGCGCCTTCAGGAAAAGTAAGCGGTTCAAAATTACACCGTTACTATTTCTCAAAAAGAACAACTATAGTAGATGACAAATGGAATTTTGCGTTATTTCCCTATCTGTGATCAGGGCATCAGTGAATTCCTAAACAGTGTGGGGTGCAACCTCGTGGTGTCGGATGGACCTAAACAAGATGTCCCAGAGATGTTCTATTGGATTCAGGTCAGGCAAGCGAGACAAGCAGTTCCTTTATCCATGAACTGCCAGCCTATATGCCACATGAGGCCGAGCATTATCGTGCACCATTAGGAACCCAGGACCCACTGCACCAGCAAAGGGTTTAACAATGAATTTAAGGATTTTGTCCTGATACCTAATAATAATAACAATCATTTTATTTAAAAAGCGCCTTTCAGGAAACCCAATGACATATCATTGTGCAACCTCTGCAGGGTCCAGGTATCGTCTCACGCTACCAGTAACAATGACAGTCAGGGTGCCATCATTTATCCCGTGAAGGTCTGTGCATCCCTCCATGAATATGCCTCTCCAGGCCAACACTGACCCACCCCCGTCATGCTGAACAATGTTGCAGCAGGCATAACATTCACCGCGGCTTCTCCAGACCCTTTCACATGAGCTCAAAGTGAACCTGCTGTGAAAAGAACAGCGTGCCAGTGCTGGACCTGCCAATTCTGGTGTTCTCTGGCAAATGCCAGTCGAGCTCCACGGTGCCGGGCAGTATGCACAAGGCCCACTAGGATGCCGGGCCCTCGGGCTACCCTCATGAAGTCTGTTTCTAATGGTTTGGTCAGAGATATTCACATCAATTGCCTGCTGGAGGTCACTTTGTAGGGCTCTGGCAGTACTCATCCTGATCGTCCTTACACTAAGCAGCAGATACCAATCCCGCTGATGGGTTAAGGACCTCAGATAGCCCTGTCCAACTCTCCTAGAGTAACTGCCTGTGTCCTGAAATCTCCTCCAAGACACAGCAAACCTTCTGGCAACGGCACAAATTGATGTGCCGTAGGGGTGGAGTTGCATTGCCTGTGCAACCTCTGCAGGGTCCAGGTATCGCCTCATGCTACCAGTAGTGACGCTAGCCCCAGTCAAATGCTGAACTACTAAAAAGCTGTCAAAAAATATCTGTAGCCTCCTCCTGCAAAACCCTTTCTGTTTTTGGGGTTGTCTCATTTTTGCCCCTTTAGTGCACCTGTTTTTAGTTAAAACAGCTGAAACTAACAACCCCCTCTGCTACTTAACTGACCAGATCAAAGTCCCAGAAGTTTAACTGACTAAAAATTATACTCATATTAAAAAGTGTTCCTTTAATCTTTTTAGTAGAGTAGATATCAAGCTACTCTGTGAGCTCTGGAAGTATCTCATGAGATCACACATCTAATTATTGGGATATGGATATATATGGATATTTTCCAGGTTTGACCAGAACAGCTAGAACTCATTTTGTAGTACCAGATGATTTAAATTTAAAACACGATCAGCACGATGACACAGTTGGTAGCACTGTTGCTTCTCAGCAAGAAAATTGCCAGATCAAATCCTGGGCGGGGGCCTTTTCTGGGTGGAGTTTGTGTGATCTCTTTGTGCACGTGTTAGTTTTCTCTGGGTACTCCAGTTTCCTCCCACAGACCAAATTAGGCTGATTGGTAACTAGGCCTGTCGTGACAAACAATAAATCAATTAATCGTATGATAAATTTAAAACGAGGTTGATAATTTTCATTTATCGGCTTTGTTTCTTCGTCTCTCTCTTTCTAAGACACTGGATGACAAAAGGCTCAACTCCGGAGCTCTTCACTGACCCCTCCCTTTCTCTCTTTTCTCTTTAAAATCCATTTAAACTGTCCAAATTCGTGTTTTTGAAGGATTGTTAAAAGCAGCTAAACTGAGAAGCTAAGCTACAAGCTAAGCTAACAGGTTGACCTTGGGGGAAAACAAAAAAAAAACTGTCTTGTCGAAGCTCCAAAATTCACGGTTGAAACCCGTCCCTTTGTGTAAAAAGTTGTTTTTCTCTGCAAAAAAAAAGCTGAGAACTTTTTTATTTATTTATTTATTTTTAATTAAAAGCTTTGTGTGAAAAATGCTATGCTAAAGAGTTCAAACCTCACCGAGCGTCCGCCATTTTGAAAACCAAAGAGAGACAGCCCATGTCACGTCAAGGGTCCTCCCCCCATTTTTCTTAAAGAGACACGCTGCTCACTCCCTCACTGTCCATCCTTCGGTTCAAACAGTCTTATACTGCCATCCAGTGATCAAAAACAGGTACTACACCCAAAACAAATTAACCAACATTTCTTCTTAAATTTGACAATAATGACCAATTATTGTCAAATTTCAAACAATATTATCGTTTATTGCAATCATTTCTGAGGCAATTAATTGCCCAGCAAAATTTGTTATCGTGACAGGCCTATTGAAAAAAGGCTTAAAGGCTCTTTTCTTTTTAAGCAAGCCTATTCTGCCTCCACATTATTTTATCATTGATTTTAGTTGCACTTTGTAGCACTTTGAGATTTTTGTTAATGAAAAGTGCATTACAAATTAAATTCATTATTATTATTATTATTATTGGTAACTCTAAATTGTCCCTAGGTGTGAGTAAGAGTGAATGGTCTCCTTTTCTCTGTGTCCTTGTGATGGACTTGCGACTTGTTCAGGGTGTCCCCCACCTCTCGCACAGTGACTGCTGGATATGGGCAGCACTGATCATCATAGCCCCAAAAGGAAGAAGTGGGCAAAGGTTAATGGATGGATAGTCGCCCTTTAATGTCATATTTTTCACACCCTGTTTGAACTCTGTTCATCTTGCGACGATAATGTTTTAAGTTCCTGGTCTGTCACACAATTATACAGTATGACTAAAATATCAACCCTGCTGAAGTGGATCCTGCAGGATCAGATAAACTAGTCATTTGGTCTTTCATGTGGGGCAATGATCTTCAATTAAGAATCGACAAGGTCCATCTCATCTTGAACTTTGTAATGTGCAAGAGACTGAAAGAAAGCCTTGGAAATCAACCAGATTAACAACATCCATGTCAGACGTTGGGGAACCAGGACATTCTGATGTAAAATATGCTGTTTGGTTTTGCGGTTTAGGCGACATGAGAGCAAGAAACGAGATTTCACTGCACATTTGGAATTTGCATTTTAGTATCTCCCCAATAATGCACTGTAATCTTGAGTGCCAAGAGGATGGAGTTT